TTTGATAGTGCTTCTGCTTTAACTGATCAGCTTTTACTCCCTTCAAATTTGCTTGTGAACTAGGTGGACACAACCACAGTCTGAGAATTCCTGCATGATTGATGTATCAAAGGGATGTATGAAAGGAAGTGATCTTTTCAATGGTGGTACCATAATAAAAGCTTTTAGAAGTGGTTTAAAAGTTGCTTCCTTTTCCATTTTCAAGTAAGTTCCAAAAACTTTTTTTATTACAGAAAACCTTGTTTTTGTTTTAGACTCTTATTACGTACCCATGGGGCAAATTTATTTATTATATTTGTGCAGCCACCCATTTTATATGGTCACATACCTCATCTGAGTCCTATTTTTCCACAACCCTGTGAGGTGGGTTGGGCTGAGAGAGATTGACTGGCCCAAAATCACCCAGCCAGGTTTCATGCCTAAGTGAGGTGTAGCATTCACAGTCTCCCGTTTCTAGGCCCAACACCTTAAACACTACATCAAACTGGCTCTCTATTTTTTTTTCTTTTTAATACTGATATTATTTTCCTTATATTCAATTTTTTAAAATTATGTCTACAGTAATTGCTATCTTGATTTTTTTGGTGAACTGTTGTTAAACATTTTCTTTTGTACTACCTTTTTAGTTTAATTATTTTCTATATGTTGTTTTAAATCTTCTGAAAACTGGTGAGCATTTTCTTGAAAGGTCTGTAGGCGAAAATTTTGAATTGCTATTTATTTGGTCCCTGGCTTTAAATATCTTTCTTAAATATCTTAAATATCTTTCTTCCTTCTCCTCCTTATATTATTATTTTAGAATGTTAATATTTAGTTGTATATTGATTAGAGCTGTGTGGTTATTTATGCAAGAGACTGTTCAGTCAACCAACTACTTGTTGATGAATTCTGTAAATCTGCTGATTTCATAATGATTAAGTATATAACACGGTGTCTTTTAGTTCTTGGAAATATGCAGTACTATTTTCCTTATTTAAAAGTTGCAGTTTTTTCTCTTGATTGCTTACCTTGAACAATTTATTCTGTATAAATTTCTCTGGTGCAGGTCTCCACTACTGAAGTTTTATGTTGCTTAGTTTGTTGGGCCTGACAATTTCCTATATTTGGAGCAGCCTCCCCTTTTCTTTCAGCCAAGTCAAGGTGTTCTCTTTAAAATCCTTCTGAGACCACTTCTTGAATTCAAACTGTTTCAACTCTCTGCCTCTGCTCTTCAGCTGCCACTTGATTGTCTCTGTACCATCTTTGCTTTTCGATTTCTGCCTGACTTATGCCAGTTTTGTTCATCGTACTGAATAAGAGTTGTAATTCAACCTGATAGCTGCCAGATTGGTATATTTCAAGGCATCTTTCCCAATCAATTGTTCTAAGTTCTTGATCCTTATCTAAAAATAGAAGCCTGGAGAAGGAAAGTATTTCCCTCCCCTGTTCTTTATCTAAGACAATGCTTCTCAAAATACTTTGGTGTTAGGGTCTTGTAAGGCTGTTGGGAGGGAGTCTTATCCCATGAGAGCACCTTATTCTGAAGGCCTCTCTTTGGCAGGCTTGCCAGTTTGATGCAAAAATGTTGAATGCATAGTATCCATACCTTTCCAAAGCTTTAGCCTGAGTGTTCTTTTTCTTCATTTTAATACATTATCTTTGCTTTTCAGTGGAGAAATAATCATTCCTGGAGAATACTAGGCTCTTGTACAAACTTTTGACCTTTTGACCTAACAGCTATTTTGCCTAGGGAATAATTGCTGAGGTGAAAAGCCCCCCCCCCCCCCCCCCCCCGGGGGGGGGGGGGGCTTGTGAAGCTTCAACAAGGATGAATGTTTTAAGAATGGAGTAAAGGATTAATAAGCAACAAGCATATATCAAGGACATGGGATGATGGTGCTATATTATTATTGCACTGTTGGGAGAGATGTCTAAGAAACTTACAACCTGCCAATGTTTTGCAAGCTGTTGCATTTTAAGAACTGTTTAGGAGAAACTGACTTAAGGCAAGGACCACTCACTGCATCCAAAACAACCTATATAAAGCAAAAGTCCCTTCTTTTTTTTTCCTCCTGACTTTCTTAGGGAATGAATGGTTGTTTGGAACATAAAATCTAACTTTTAGGAATTAGGCAAAAGTAAGTGCATTCATCCTTTTGATTTAAAATGGTTAAAAATGGTTTTAAATTGGTTTTGTTTTTTCCATATTTCCAATGAAAACAGTTTTGCTCTATAGAGTTATAGAGTTTGATCATTGTGTTATTTGATTTGATTGTTTTCACTATTTGATTTAATAATTAAATAATAATAAATGAATAAATAATAAAGCAAATAAAGCCAAATTAATTAAATGAAAAAAAAACCTATTACAATAAGTAGTGTATTTCTTGCCCAATTGTTAGCCCAGTGTTAGCCCAATTCTGATCATCCTAATTCAAAGATTTATAATATCTGTGAATTTGAGAATTCCTTCCATAAACTTTTTCTTGATCTTTTCTCAAAAAACAAAAAACCCAGTGCTGAAATAGTTTTTTTTTTTTTAAATTGGTACATCAAGAAGTCAGCTAATATAGGTAGTCGTCGACTTTACAATCACAATTGAGCTCAAACTTTATGTTGCTAAGTGACAAATTTGTTAAGTGAATTTTGCTCCATTTTATGAACTTTCTTGCCACTGTTGTTATATGAATCCCTGCAATTCTCAAGTTAGTAAACTGGTTGTTAAGTGAATCTGACTTCCCCATTGACTTTCCTTCTCCAAAAGCTGCAAAAGGGGATCACATGACCCTGGGACACTGCAACTGTCGTAAATATGAGTGTCACTGCAACTGTCGTAAATATGAGTTTGACCATGTGACCATGGAGATGCTGCAATGGTTGTGTGAAAAAAGGTCATAAGTCACTTTTTTTATTGCCCTTGTAACTTTGAATGGTTACTAAATGAATTCTTGTAAGTCAAGGACTACCTCTACATGCAAAGGTAAAAATAAACTGCTAGCAGTCCTATAGTGATATTATTTCGAATTCAGAAAATGAGACTGATCTAGCAACTCTTTGTGTTTGGGGGAAAAATAATCTGAGCCACAGGGGGAAGAAGTATATTTTCTATTGCTTCAGGGTTTTGTTCCCTTTTTCTTCTTCTTTAATGCTTCTCTTTAACTATTGCTAATAAATTAGGACCCAGACTTCAGAATATGCATTTCTTTGAAAAGTCTATACTGAATTTACCAAAAACCTGGATTCATGTTATGTCTTGCCTCTCCTTACCTTCTCTGATCCTCTCTTCACCTCTACCCAACCTATTACTCCCTCCCTATATCTGGTAGCAACAACTTACCTACTTGTGGGCCTGGGATTGGTGAGATTCTGCTGGCTTTTCTACTGACTTTGGTTGTGAGAAGCCAGAATGAAGTTGTGCTGCCTAACAGCTGTGGGATTCAGTTAACGATGGTCATTGGGACTGCAGGGATTGCCTTTGCTAAGCAAAGTGGTTCATGCTTTACCACCAGTTGCTTAGCAATGGAAATTCTGGTCCCAGTTGCCATTTTAAATTGAGGGCTGCTTGTTGATGCTTCAAAACTTACAGGAGCATGAACATAGTTCTTGTTTGCAATACTTAAAAGCAGCCCCTCCCTTTCTTGGGGTTGCATAGGGCTTCATGTGGTCTTGGGAAAAAAATAAAACTGCTTTAAGGTGCTGGAGAGAGGGCCTAGTTTGTACTCTCATGTGCTCCAAAGCACTTTTTGGGGATTGAATCCAAAGCACTGCCCCAGCAGTTCCATACAGTGTATTAGCTGTGCTCCCTATATCAGGGGTCCCCAACCCCCGGACCATGGACCAGTACCAGTCTGCAGCATGCCAGCAACCTGTCCGCACAAACAAGCAAAGCCCCATCCACGGGATGCAGGCAGCGCACAAAACCACACCCCCTCCGGTCCATGGAAAAACCTCTCTCCAGGTAATCGGTTCCTGCTGCCCAAAAGGTTGGGGACCTCTGCCCCATATGATTCCTTCCTTCCTTCCTTCCTTCCTTCCTTCCTTCCTTCCTTCCTTCCTTCCTTCCTTCCTTCCTTCCTTCCTTCCTTCCCTCCCTCCCTCCCTCCCTCCCTCCCTCCCATTAGTGAATATGCTACACAAACAGATCAGTTAGTGCAGACATGTCAAACTCGCGCGACGTATCAGAGCTTTTTCCCCATTGCCGGCAATGGAGTGGGCGCAGTTTCATCATGATGCGTCCACCCTGTGGGCCGGCAGTTTGACACCCCTGAGTTAGTGAATATGCTACTCTTACGTTCTCCACTGTTTGTTCCTCCACATTCAGGAAGGGGCAGAACTGCCTGTTCCCTTTGTACAGATACTTTTCAAATTGTCTGAAATTTGTCATGGATATTCCTTACCATTTGAATGTATGTACATTTTATCATATTCTGCCTTCAAACAACAAGGAGATGATTTATAAGTTCTTCAAAAGGGGAGTGTTTAACAAGAATGTAGTTCAAAATATTCTGTTAGGTAAGCAAGGAGATTGACTTAGTGTAAGGCAGTTTCCTGAATATCTCTATACTTGTGATGGCTGGTGCTGCCAGTGTTAATAACTGACCTGGCTGTTTGTGCTGACACGATGCAGGCAGCATTGTCTTTGCTGGCTTTCTGTTTTCCTCTTGGCCAGCAGTGCAGGACGAATAAAATAGCAACCTTTGCTGCATGCCTGCAATTTAACAGACAAGGTCTTTGGGATATCCCCATACAATGTCAGAAAAGAAAAATGCACAAACTTAAAACAAAACTTTTTCCCTTTTTATCATTTTCAATTGTTTTTCCAAAATATTGTTGAGACACATTTTGATTATTTGTGTGAATGGAAGGATGCTTTGGGTCTCAAATGTTGCAGAGCTGGTACATTTGTGTTTCAGCATTTTGGATTTTTCTATTCCTGTTTCTTTTGTTGTGTGCTTTGAAGAGATCACCATTAACATGGGGAGGTTTTCCTTTAACACATTTTATATTTATTTTCTTGTCAGCTAAACTTACCAAGCGATCTCAGGAGAGAGAGAATCTCGGTATGCTGGTCTGGTCACCCAATCAGAATATTTCAGAAGCAAAATGTAAGTTACTCTTTTGTTTCTGTTTTATTTACTTTTCTTTTCCGTAGTGCTTTTTATTATATAAATATAATAGAATGAATAGAATAGAATAGAATGAAATGCCTCCAAATGTATTTGAATGTTCATATGCACCCTGTGACACAATGATGCTTATTTCTAAATAGACACATGCAGGATTGCTCTCTTAACTTTTTTTTTTATTCATCACATGTGTAATAAACGGGATTAGAAAGAGGATTACTTGTCACAATCCAAATCTGAATTAACTTTAGAAGAAACAAGAATATACCATAGACATTTTATATATATTAAGAATAGGTTATTTGCTACTTGTGTCTTCATTTAGTATTGACCTTTTATTTTTATCATTGCACACTAGAAATTTGAAGCAAATATTGCTTTGCATAAGTGAAGTGAAGTGATGGGAAGGACCACAAAAGCAATCTAGAATGTAGAAATTAGTATTGCAATTCCTGGATCTAGTTTAGAATCATATCTTTGCGTAATAAGTTGTACTACTAGTGCAGCTCCTGTATAAGGGGAAAAAGCCAATCACGAAGGATTTAATTATAATTCCTGTGTTTTGTATGTACTTGAAAGCTATGGTTAACAGTTGAAAAAGTCCCTGAATGTCAAACTATGACTGGAAGTCTATTTAATATCCTTTTCTAAAATTAATGCTGCTTTTTTGTTTGGGAAAAATAAGCCATAATTAATTTTAGTTCAAAGGAAACCATGTTTCTCTGTAAAAATAGCATCATAAGCTAACTTTGAGTAATACTTTAGTACCAAAATTGCACAAAGTTATGGGCAGGCTTTTAAGATCATTGAAGCTGGATGGAAATTAACCACAGGTTTCCCAGGCTGTAGAATTGATGATTAATGGCAATATCATCTGCTGATTTTAAGTCTTTTTTCTCAGCACAGGAAAAGGGCATTTTCTAGAGCTGTTTATGGGTTTAGGAGGAGTTTGGCTTCAGAGATTTGAGCAAAAGACCATTTCAGAGCAATTGCACTCTCCATCTGCATTGTTTCATTTTCTATTGCTTCAGAATTCTGTCTCGGCATTTCCGGCAGTCAGAATAAGCTTCTGCAGATTCAGTTACATTAGTAGATGAGACACATTCATAGAAATTTGTTCTGGCAACTAGATATATTGTAGAAAGCATCTGAAATGTCTCAGCTAGATAAAGTGAATTGCAAAGCAGCTGAAAGTAAAATATTTTTACTTTACACATAAGGATACTGTAGTCCTTGAATTATGACAGTAATGGAATCTGCTATGGTTGTAAGTCAAGGATTAGCTGTACCTGGTTTTTAAAATAAATAGCAATTTCATAGAAGATAAGGTGGTAAACGATGGCTGTATATTACTTAAGTATGTTATTTTGATGGTACTTGTCTATGCTTCCTAAATGCTTTCTTTCTTTCTTTCTTTCTTTCTTTCTTTCTTTCTTTCTTTCTTTCTTTCTTTCTTTCTTTCTTTCTTTCTTTNCTCTCCTCTCTCTCTCTCCTCTCTCCCTCTCTTCTCTCTCCTCTCTCTCTTTTCTCTCTCTCTTCTCTCTCTTTCTCTCTTTCTCTCTCTTCTCTCTCCTCTCTCCTCTCTCTCTCTTCTCTCTCTCTCTCTCTCTCTCTTTCTTTCTCTCTCTTCTCTCTCTCTCTCTCTCTCTCTCTCTCTCTCTCTCTCTCTCTCTCTCTCTCTCTCTCTCTCTCTCATTATTGATTGATTGATTGATTGATTGCTATGCAACCATATGAAAATTAGCTATGGTGTACATCAGGACAGGAAGCTTATGGCTTAGAGGCACACGTGGTTCCCAAATCTCCATTTTGATTTTCTGAGTTATTCTCACTGAAAATCAGAAGCATAATTTCCTGCTACTGTAAGGTGGAGAACACACAAAAACTAAAGTACAGCGTCTGTAATTACTTTATGATCACTTTTTTTAAAAAAAAGAAAAAAGGCAGAAAAAGGAAAAACTCTTATAGCAAAGAAGATCCATCCAGAAAATCTTGATCCTCCCATGAGTGGCATGTGGTCTTATTGGCCCATTCACTGCACCCTTCAAGCATCAGAAGGTTGCTGACACATACTGTATGATGGTATTGTGATATAGCAGTTAAAGTTTGGACTAGCTTTAGGGAGGCCCAGCTCTTATCTTTGTCAGCTATGGAATCTCCCTCGATGACTTTGGGTCACTTGCACATCCTTTCCCAGTCCAACTCACCTTACAGGATAGTTGTTGTGGAGAAAAATAGAGTACTGTGCATTTCACTTTGAACTTCTGTATGAAAGATGGGATATAAATCAATAAAGCATAACACTCACTGGACTCTCTAAATTCAGTCAAATGCTAGCGCTGCAGAGGACTTTAGGCATGGCTCCCAGCTCTGTCAAAGATGTGAACATTTGAAGGACTGGACTTCTCTTCTTTAAAATTGTTCTTTTTATACTATTGTAGGAGTCTTTTCAGGTCATGTGAAATTTGCATCTGTAAATTAGTATATGTGCTAATTGGGATAGCACAGAAATAGTATACAGCTGATGTTCTCAAAAAACATTTTGTTATAGTGAACTTTGTGAAGTCAAGAACAAACTTGTTTATGTTGCCTTAAATATAACTAAGCCAAAATTAAAAAAAAAAAAAAGTTCAGTGAATAGAAGCAGAATTGCAGCCATACTGATGCAGGGCCATTGTGCAGCAGTAGGGAAGTGAAAAGATTGTATTCATCTATCACATTAAGACATGCCAGAAATTAGTCAGTCTTGCACCTGAGCAAGTCTAGCCAATTCTATGTTTGTGGGGTTTTGGGGTGTATGAGTTGTTTTTTCCCCTTCGTTTTCCTAATTGCTTCTCTGCTGCAGTTGTGTGAATCTCTTAGAAGTTTGAATGGGCAAACGGTACTATGGTTAGAATGAAACTGAAATATGACTAGAAATCCTTTGTATAAAAGCTGATTTCTTGGCATTTGTCAAGTGGGATCAAGAGATTATTGCTGAAATTTTGTTTCTTTTCTTCATTGCCGATAACTAAGATAGCTGCCATTCTGGAAATTAATTTGGGAAAAGGTTCTTTATCTCTGCTTCAATTAATATTAAAATTTACACATTTCAATTACTTTGATTATACCCTAATTCAGCGGCCCCCAACCTTTTGGGCACCAGGGACCGGTTCCATTGAAAAAATTGTTTTCCACACACCTGGGGTGGTTTCATGCGCTATGTAAATCCCGTGCATGTGCAGATGAAGCTTTGCTCGCTTGTGTGGCCCGGTTCCCAACAGGCCTGGGGATTGTGGACCCCTGTCCTAATTGACTTGCAATATTAAAGCGCTATGAGAAAAGGATAGGATTTTCTTTAGGAGCTGTGAAGAAGGAGCTGTGAAGGGGTTCTGAGAAATGGTATAAGATTTGGCTCTTTTTTTTTTGTTATGGCTGCCAAAGGAGAATTTGTAGTTCTTTAAATGGCATTTTATTTTGCCAAGCGTTCTGAGCTGCAGAATGCTGTAATTTGGACGAATTGACATTTATATCTCCTACTTTGTCTTTTACTTGCCTTTTATAATGTCTTGTTTATTGAATTAAAAAAAAATTACCTTAGGAACTTTTGAATGATTTTGATAGGAAGTTGATATGTAACAAACAATAAATGCATATATCCTGAAGCTGTATGGCAGATACATCCCTTTTGTACAAGGAATGCTTGTGTTTATTACTTGAATTTGTCACCTACCATGATAGAAAATAAATGGATAAATTGTGCATAGATTGGTACACATGAGCAGCCATCTTGTGAAGTCTTAGTGTTTGCCAATAGAAGCAAAAAATGTGTATAAGAGTGTGCTTCTGCTCACTTTATTATATGGAGAACGAGCATTGGCTATGGCAGGGTAAATATAAAAATAAACTGAATGCAATAGGGATAGAGTACTTAAGTTTGTGATAAGACAAAAACAGGTCAGGTCAAGAATGATTTAAGTGCTGAATGAATGAATGAATGTGGATTAAATACAAAAGTGAATTACTAGTACAAAAGAAGTAGTTGGAGATTTGGTCATACAGAGAGAGTGAATGAGAATCAAATCACAAATCAAATATATTAAATAGACGAATGTGTTGACAAGAAGACAAGGATCAAGTACCTTATGATTGTGTGGAGCTGATGAAATCCTGGAAGAAAAAAGGATGAGGTTTAAATGACAAAAAGCAATATATGAAGTGGAATATGAACATGATAAAGGCAAGGATGGGTTGCAAGGAAAAAAAGTATGCAGAGTGAATGATGTCAGTACTTTGAAAGGAAATAGCTTGATGGATGTGTAGTGTATGTTAGAATATTAAGGTTGTCTAGCAATTGTCTTTAACATCCTTGTTGAGGTTATTTGAAGTGGTACTTTGTTATGAAGTGCAGGGGAGTGTTTCTCTATTAGAGCTCTTCCCCACCTCCACAGCAGACTGAAAGATGAATAGATTGGAAATCATTTATGTAATAGAAGATCGTTTTATTAATATAGGAGTATTCCATTAGGATTCTTGTCTTCTCTAATTCAAGAACCAGGGGTTTTATCACATCCTGAGGTATTCAAAAAACCACACTCCGCTTCAATGTACCAGAATATGTACAAATAATAGGCACCTTTGTGCCATCCATGCCTCTTTCTTTCATAAGGGGAAAAAACAAATTGACAAATCGTCCTTGAACATTAGCTTTTTATTATGTCTGAACAGGAAACAGTGGTTAATAGCCTTCAAACAGGTATGGTTATAAGCCAGCTTTAAGCTATGTCAAAAAAGGACCATTTTTTAAACCAGACTATATACATTAGACAGCATATAAATCAAAATAATGAGCATCTCACAATCCAGCAGTTGTTTTGCTAATACAGTAAATTCTTGACCTTAGCCAGGAGGAAGGATTGTATGATAGAGGTGAGTGAATAAATGATGAACGGAATGTTGAGCATGTATTAAATGTACATACTGTGTAAAATCTAGATAAA